CCATCGTGTAATCGTATCTCTCTCTCTCTCACCATGATACAGATGACATGATATACTAGGGTCGTGAGGTGGTGCCGCATACTGCCATCATGGTGGTACCATCATGTAATCGTATCTCTCTCTCTCTCTCACCATGATGCAGATGACATGATATACTGGGGTCGTGAGGTGGTGCCGCGTACTGCCATCATGGCGGTACCATCGTGTAATCGTATCTCTCTCTCTCTCTCACCATGATACAGATGACATGATATACTGGGGTCGTGAGGTGGTGCCGCGTACTGCCATCATGGGGGTACCATCATGTAATCGTATCTCTCTCTCTCTCTCACCATGATGCAGATGACATGATATACTGGGGTCGTGAGGTGGTGCCGCATACTGCCATCATGGCAGTACCATCGTGTAATCGTATCTCTCTCTCTCTCTCACCATGATACAGATGACATGATATACTGGGGTCGTGAGGTGGTGCCGCGTACTGCCATCATGGCGGTACCATCGTGTAATCGTATCTCTCTCTCACCATGATACAGATGACATGATATACTGGGGTCGTGAGGTGGTGCCGCGCACTGCCATCATGCTGCAGAACAGCATACCTTACTACGGGCCGCGGCGCTGGCACAAGTTCGACAGCCTCAACGTGGAGACGACCGCGTACGCGCTTATGTCGTACAACCTGCGCAACCACTGGCAGACGAAACACATCGTCAAGTGGCTGAACAACCAACGCAACACGGATGCCGGCTTCATCTCCACCCAGGTAGGTGTGCGTGCGTGCGTGCGTGCGTGCGTGCGTGCGTGCGTGCGTGCGTGCGTGCGTGTGTATGTAGGTGTGCGCGCATGCGTGCGTGCGTGAGTGCGTGCGTGTGTAGGTGTGTGTGTGCGTGCGTGCATGCGTGCGTGTTTGTGCGCGCGTGCGTGTGTGTGTGTGGGTGTGTGCGTGCGTGCGTGCGCGTGCGCATATGTCTGTGCATGTGTGTGTAGGTATGTGTGTGTGTGTGTGTGAGTAGGTATGTGTGTGTGTGCGTGCGTGCGTACGTGTGTGTAGGTGTGCGTGTGTACATGTCTGTGTGTGGGTGTTGGTACACGTTTCGTAATTGTTATTCTCTATCCAGACTCTACATTTGCCCAACACTCCGCGACTGTCTTATGACCCTCGCCACGCGTCCTCCCAACCCGTAGGGGGCACTTACTTTGCTCTAACCCGCTGACTCTTGCCCCCACGCACGTCTCTGCATTCGATGCACCCTCGCCACCCTTCCTCCCCACCCATAGGGGGCGCTGACTTCTCGCTAACCCGCTGACTCGCTCGCGTACGCAGGACACGATCGTCGCGCTGGAGGCTCTCTATCAGTTCAGCATCAAGTCGCAGAACCGGCACCTGTACCACTTCACGGCCCTCGTCGAGGCTTCGTCGACGAGTCAGTGGTCAACAACGCTCGAGGTGCCGCGCGGAGAGTGGTCCGACATGAAGGTCGCACAGGTACGTGAAGGTTGCACAGGTCGTGATTGTACGTGAAGGTCGTGCAGGTACGTGAAGGTTGCAAATGTCGTGATGGTACGTGAAGGTCGCAAAGGTCGTACAGGTACGTGAAGGTCGCACGGGTACGCAAAGGTTGCGAAGGTCGTACATCAACACAGAGGTTGTGAAGGTCACGTAATTATGAGATTGTCATAACGACGAGTCTTCTGATATGAGATGTCTTAATAATAAACACGTGTACAGCTCTAGCTCTCACTGATGCTCACTTCTGTTTCTGCTGCGTTGTGCGCGTAGATCCCGGACGCGTGGGGCAGCGTGCGTGTGACTGCGAGCGGGACGGGACTGGCGCTGCTACAGCTCGCTGTCAGCTACACGATCGACGTGATGCGATACTACCTGCCGGCGTTCCCCGTCGAGGCCTTCCAGATGGACACGAAGATCATCTACTACGGCTTCAACTACTCGACGGTCGACTATGACATATGCGCACGGTAGGTCACGGGGTCGTCGAGAGGTCACGACATGGGTCACGGGGTCGTCGAGAGGTCACTCCATGGGTCACGGGGTCGTCGAGAGGTCACTCTATGGGTCACGTCTTGCGTCTCGCGCGTTGCTCCGACCCCCTGCCTCACGTCTCACGCGTTGCTCCGACCCCCCATCTAGCGTCTCGCGCGTTGCTCCGACCCCCATCTCACGTCTCACATCTCACGCGTTGCTCCGACCCCCCATCTAGCGTCTCGCGCGTTGCTCCGACCCCC